GGTACCAACAGTCTGCACACAAATAAGCCAAGTCCAGACATAGACACACAACCAGAACTTTCTGCCAGAGTTGGCAGCTGGTGAAAGCAAAAAATGAGAATTTATTTATATGTTTCTTGATTTAGACAGACAATTGGAAAAAAGTGTCAAAGGACAGTGTCAAAGGGACAGTGTCAAAGAACCAGTTTTAGAGAGACCGTACCTCAGTTACATTGAAGGACAGAGAGTAAAATGACTTACCCATCTAGTAAGAATGTAGTAGATTCACGGGAACACAGTTGCCCTGGACCATGCCGCGTGAAGGGGACAAATCAGGAAGGGAGGGAAAATGAAGGAATAAATTATTGCAGAAAGGATAAGAGCTGTAACGTCTGAGAAGAAACACACTAGATACACATTATGGCAAAATTGGTCCTCAAATTCTATGCTTTAATTATGGAAGACGTTTCTCAATGTGGGCGGGTCTTGCTAGTCACACTCGCCATCTACATGGGCTGTGAGTCCCAAGTCTCCATATACCACACACAAAATAATATCATTTGGAAATTCAGAAAAATGCTAACTAAGAATTGAGCTGGACCAAACTGCACATACGATCTTCTACAACAGAACATTAGGGCGGAAGGTGAAAGGAAGACCAAGAAAGAGATGGATAAATGGTGTAACTGGATATAAAAAAATATAAACAAAACTATCAAGGAAAGATATCAACTTGACACAGACACTTGGCAGAGAGTAGCTGCAGACCAACTCTTTTGGAGGCAGATAATGAAAGACGGACTGTTGCACTTTTATAGAGGCCAAACACTGCAAGCTATAGAGAGAAGACGTTTGAGAGAAAACCAGCCTCGGAACGATAGGGTATCCACGTTTTTATGTGGAATATGTGGCAGAGACTGCCACTCCCGCATTGGACTTTACAGTCACAGCAGACAATGTTCCTAGGACAAGCGGCACAACTCCATGGTCCCAAGGGACTGAAGGTTGCCTACTACAACAATATTCAAGCCTCTTGAGAAGCAAAAGACAAACACAGAAAAACATGACGTGGGGCTACAACCCAGCAATAACATAAACACAAGAGAAGAAGACACAATGCACAATAAATAACTAAAGTCATGCGAAATACAATTATTGAACCAACAAATTACTAACAATTTTGTTTCAAAACAGCAATTCATTCATAAAGGCAAATAGTTTTTGTGTAAATAAAATTACTGTAAATACAGTAAAATTTGTATATAATGTTTGTTCATCACTTATTTACAAATATTTTGTATATCTGGTTGGTTACATGAAATTAACTATACACCAGCAACGAAACAAAATGTGAATACTTTCACAGAACAAAAAACACGGTATTTTGTATATACTTGACTGGGAATCGTGCACATAAATATTAAAACACATAAAATATATACATTTTGTTTTGGTCAGACTTTGAAACTAGATAGATAAAGATTTTTAAAACAGACACAGAAAGTAAACTGCACAATTTACTGCCTGGCATAGTTCACTGTATCTCATCAGGTTAAATCAACATATAAAGAAGCGCACAAAAGGGAATCGTTTTCACTTAAATACATAAATCACACTGTAAAGTTGGGTTGTACATCTCTTCACCAGAAATTTAACCGTATGGTCACCACGCTACCTTAAAATTTATCACATGCTCTTTTTGTTTACATAAAACATGAAAGTTTAGTTTTATTGATACGGCTTCAGGAGATATAAGCAATTTAGCAATTTATTGGTTATGTCCACAATATTTAAATTTATAACAGGGAAACATTGCTGTGAAAAGATGTTTTTATTGGAGAAACTCCCAAAGACTAGGGGACATAGATATTGAAATAAGAATACAAAAGGCAAGAGAAGCTTTCTTGGCACTTGGATTCATATAACTAGGGTTCCTATCTTCATGGTGCTAGGATCTATAGCACTAGGATTCAAATCTTAAAGATATATAGCACAAAGATTTAAAGTACTAGGATTCAAAACTCTAGGATTCAAGGAACTAGGATTCATAACACCAGGCTTTATAGTGTCAAGATTTATAGCATCAGGATTAATTTTGCTAGGATTCATGGAACTATAATTTATAGAAACTAGGATTCATAGCACTGGGGTTATAGTGTTAGGATTGATAGCACAACGATTCACATTGCTAGGATAGAAAGGCACTATGATTTATAGCTTGAGGATTCATGATACTAAGACACAAAGCACCAGGATTCATAACTCTTTCATGGTGCTAGGTTTGATAGCGTTAAGATTCATGGAATACTGTAGGAGTGACCATAAGAGATAAGATCAGGAATGAGATCATAAGAGAAAAAGTCGGCACAGAACCAATTTTAAATTACATACAAAGACATCAAGTGAAATTGTTTGCCCACTTAGAGAGAATGTCTTGTGACACCATACCATACAAAGCATACATGGAAAGAGAAGAAGGACGTAGAGCACGGGGTAGACCAAGAACAAGATGGAAGGATAACATCAGAGAAACTCTACAACAGCACGATGTGCTTATGGTCGAGGCGGCCAGAAGAGCTAGAAACAGAACCTTATATCTCCCTCGACACCCACAGCGGTAAAAGAGGAAGTGAAGAAGAAGAAGAACTGTTCAAAGCACTATGAAATTTGTGGAAGTCAAAACAAATTAAGTACCAGACTTACTTTAATGTTACATCAGTACTGCTGTAAGGAGCAGAAATATGGAGAACAACTAAAACAACTACTGATAATTTATAATGTTCATATGCCAGCTTAGAAATGAGGGGCTAAATTGACATGATTTAATCAATCATTTGGAGCCTTGGGAGAGAATAAAACAGATACGAATAGTCAAGAGCTGAAGAAAAGATGCTGGCATTGGATAGAACACACTGAAAAAAACCTGGTGATAGTATAGATAGAAAGTACTCTCTCTGAAACCCACATGGTGACATAAATAGAGAAAGATCTAAAAAGATACAGAGCAGAGAAGAAAATTATGAGTTGTGAGTCAAGAACTGGCATAATAGCACTCAAGACATTCTCAATAGCGCCCCACCCCCATCTTCAGCAGCAAACACAGATTTCCATTTTCTATGATACCAGTAACTGTCTGATTGGATATCAATCCCGCCCCTCCTTTGAGAGTTGAGCGTTAGTCAGAACTACTCGTCACTCTTCGATGCACTATTTTCATAAGACCATGATCATCTGTTTGTTTCTCTGCACTGTTTTACTAGCTCCCAGAGGACTCTAAAATATATCCAGCTTGTCATGAATCAGTTTACCACTAAATGGGGACAGAACCAGTCAGTCTATCTGCCTGTTCATTTCCCAACACATCAGCCAGACTTTGAGAGATTGTCCAAAGGACACTAACTACTGAAACCTCTGAAGTGATGCTTGCCACTCTGCACGGAGCATAACTGCCTCAACCTTTCACAACATGCTCTGTAAGTCAGTTACAATCACATGTGTGTGCAGTTGGTTTTCAAGCCAACAGAAAGCTGCAGTCTTCTTCTTCAGCGATCTCTGGTCATGCGCATAATCCACTGTGTGTCATAAATTTGGATGTTTTTTCAAGGTCTCTTAGGTTTCCCCAAAGCTTAGTTGTCAGTTCTACTGGGTGTTGCCATATGTCGCTCCGCAGCTCTGCCAGGAGAGGACAGTCTTGCAGGACATGTTCTGGAGTCTGTTCAGCTTGAAGGCACTGGCAGAGAGCTGTTTGGCTCATACCTAATTTATGTGAGTGTTTATTGAGTCTGCAGTGTCCAGTGCGTAAGCGAAAAACTGTGAATTGGTCTGTTCTGTTCAAGTGTTTCAGAAAATCTTTTCCGTAGTTATAATTAGTGTTGGTTTTCCAAACTGTTTCTGATTTTCTCTTAATGAGAGTTTTGACTTCTAGAAAAGATAGTGGCTGGTAGGTCTGTGGTTTGTTACTGCCTTCCTTGGCTAAAGCATCTGCGCTTTCATTGCCTTTGATGCCACAGTGAGACGGAATCCACTGCAAGTGAAGAAAGCTGCAGTGACTGCCTCCATCTCCATTCTCAAACTGCATGTTGTGGTATCATAACACAGGCCTTGTTGCACTAAATGACATCCATTTGCTTTTGCACTCATGCACTTCTTCTGCCTCTCGACACTGAGTAGAAAAGGAAAGACAGATTCTAAATATGTGGGACAGACAGGAAAGGAATGACAGCAGCTGGAAAGTGATGGAGACAGATTGTGTGAGCTGATCAAGAATCTTTATTTGAATCTTTTCTCCAGGTAATGCAAGTGTTTTGGGAAACAAAGAGGCAGGCAGATTGTCTGGTACTTTCACCATTGAGTCTGAAATGCATGGCAAGCTAGATGAAGAGCAAGAGAACAATGTCGAGGTACAAACAATCATTTTGGAGAGTGGTGTTGTAGTAAGTGACCAGGAGATCTGGCCAGTTTTACACTCAGAAGAAAGGCAACAAACATACAGTTTAACTACTGCTGATACCACCAGCATTAAAGTTCTTTGCTGGCTGCTGAAGATGAGGACTGATCACTTATGGAAAGGCTGCCTTCTTAACTCAACTCAGCTGATTTAGAATTTATGCTAAAACAAGATTTAAAGCAGACGAAAAAGAACTTATATATAGATATATTGGCAATCCTTCAAGCGGCGACCCTAGAGACCCAATCTATTGTGTGTTTACAATGTTTGAAACTGCGATTTCAGGGAATGTAATCATGTATTTGTTTACATGATCATAACAATGTTCTTTTATACTGAACATTGTGTCAAGTTGGGGTCAGGGTTAGGGTCAAGGTTGCAATAACCCAGACCCTAACTCCAAATTCAAACAATATTAAATATTAAAGAACATTGTTAAGATAAACAAACAATAGTTTTCATCTTTTACTGTTGTAGACACACAATAGATTGTGTCCCCTAGGGTTCGCCATTTGAGATAGCGCTGATGTATTTATATATATATATATATATATAGCTATCCTAGCACTCTACTCTATTGGTAAAGTCCTTCCTCTTTACGTGGAGGCTGCAACTCTTTTATTTGTTCACTCAGCCCGGAGATAGTATTCTCAGGAAGCAAAGCATCTCCGGTGTACTCTACCATCGGCCCGTATCCCTGATGTTTTCTGTTTTCTCTGCTGTAATGGATGCCGTAGGCGAAATACACCACGAGTCCTACAAAATGAAAAACATAATATTTAAGGAAACAATATTTAAAACAATGTTTTCCCGTAATAAATTTTAAAATGCGGATAACTATATTTAAAGGCAAAAGGATTCACTTCATTGTATTGAATTATACCCTTTCTGCAGCCCTGTGGCATAAAGTAAGTGAACATGTTTCACAGTCCTCAATGTACCAGAGTTTAATCTCATTGGTGGATGGTTGTCATGGTTTTCTGACATAAATAATCAGCAGGACCTTTGCAGAATGTTGCTCTCGTCGCATCAAACGTAAAAGTCTCGTCACATCACACCTAAAAGTCTCATCACGTCACACCTAAAAGTCTCGTCATGTCACACCTAAAAGTCTCGTAACGTCACACCTAAAAGTCTCTTCACGTCACACCTAAAAGTCTTGTCATGTCACACCTAAAAGTCTCATCACGTCACACCTAAAAGTCTCGTCACGTCACACCCAAAAGTCTCGTCACGTCACACCCAAAAGTCTCATCACATCACACCTAAAAGTCTTGTCACATCACACCTAAAAGTCTTGTCACATCACACCTAAAAGTCTCGTCACGTCACACCCAAAAGTCTCGTCACGTCACACCCAAAAGTCTCATCACATCACACCTAAAAGTCTTGTCACATCACACCTAAAAGTCTCGTAACGTCACACCTAAAAGTCTCGTCACATCACACCTAAAAGTCTCGCCACGTCACACCTAAAAGTCTCATCACACCTAAAAGTCTCATCACGTCACACCTAAAAGTCTTGTCACGTCACACCTAAAAGTCTCGTCACGTCACACCCAAAAGTCTCATCACATCACACCTAAAAGTCTTGTCAAGTCACACCTAAAAGTCTCGTCATGACACACCTAAAAGTATTGTCACGTCACACCCAAAAGTCTTATCACGTCAGACCTAAAAGTCTCGCCACGTCACAACTAAAAGTCTCGTCATGTCACACCTAAAGGTCTTGTCATGTCACACATAAAAGTCTTGTCATGTCACACCTAAAAGTCTCGTCATGTCACACCTAAAAGTCTCGTCATGTCACACATAAAAGTGTCATCACATCACACCTAAAAGTGTCACCACGTAACACCTAAAAGTCTCATCATGTCACACCTAAAAGTCTTGTCATGTCACACCTAAAAGTCTCGTAACGTCACACCTAAAAGTCTTGTCACATCACACCTAAAAGTTTCGTCACGTCACACCTAAAAGTCTCGTCAAGTCACACCTAAAAGTCTCGTCATGACACACCTAAAAGTCTCGTCACGTCACACCCAAAAGTCTTATCACGTCACACCTTAAAGTCTCTTTTTCTCTAACCAATTCTCCTGCCCTATGTGCTTTCACAACCAATGCTTCTTTTACGTCTTGTGTCCACCTTTGCGAAGGTCACCTCGTCTTCTCAGAACAGCACCCTACATCTTCTCCAGGTCACAATGATGTTAAACATGGCCTAAATACTCTAGCTTCCAGGAAAAGATGCTGTTAATGAGCCAATTCTCTCTGATATTTAAACCATGCACAATGTCAGTGTTTTTTTCTTCTTCTTGGTCCACGTAGTCTAACAATTTTTTTCTGTAGCATTTCAGATCAAAAGCATCTACGTTTTTTCTTCAGTGAGTGAGTAAAAGCCCACATGTTTTGTTATAGTACGTTTCATCCTTTTTAGTATGAAAGTTTTCATTATTTGAAGCCCTACTCTGGCTCTTGCCAGGGGCTGCAGTATAGCCCGGCCATAAATATGGCCTAAAGGATGAACGCTGTTTCTGGGACCTCTCCACGGTGATCCTCACCCACACGGTGGCACATTGTGTCATCGGGTGTTTATCGCTTGTGTGATGTCCTGGTGGGGTAGAAAGTCAGTCAGTCAAAAAAAGCCCATGTCACATCCATAAATTGCCACCAGAAAATGCATGATCTCAAACCGTTTACTTAAACTGGCTTGCAATTACTGTGACATAGATTCTTCATTTTGTTTAGCTTCTACATTGCCAAAATCCATCTTTTTCTGGTATCTTTTGTTGTTCACTATTGCATCTAAATATTCCAAAACTGACATTTTTTAATCTCTTGGTTATCAATTTAAATATATAGTTAGTGGGCTGTAGGTTTTTCAGACAGAAGCACAAAAGTTGCACCATAAAGAGATTGAAATTCAGCAAAAAAGTATTCCTGAAGATGGCACTACAGTTCTTCTTCTTCTTCTTCTTCTTCTTCTTCTTCTTCTTCTTCTTCTCTTCACCTTGTACCTCAGTGAAGTGTAGCGGAAAGGGGGGGGGGAGGGGGGGGGGGGAGAGAAAGATGTAACATTCGTTGATGAGCTCTGTCAAGAGCACTATTAAGACTGATGTTCATTTCTGTAAGGCTGTTCTTAATGACATCATTCCATATTTTTTGAGGTCTTCCACTCGCGACTCTGCAGCAGTGGATGCAAACATCTGCTGCAGCCAACCACTAGTCTGGAGACCTGGCTCAGTCTCTCAGTCTCTGGTTTCCTGCCCTTGAGAGCATAGCTTCTTCTTTTCTTCATAATAAATTTTTTTAACATAAAATGTATACTTGCCCAGCGTTGTGGTTTTTTAATAAGTGTCTTGTGCTTCTTGAATGGCTTGAGTAATAGTTTGTTCACCTTTTTTGCAGGATTCCTCTATGCCAGGGTTATTCAGCTGATGGCCCTCAGGCCAGATGTGGCCCTTGAAGGCTTTACAACTGGCCCGCTGAGCATTGCCAGTTGTAGGGTATTAATGATCCCTATATGTTGAGGCTGGGGTGCCTGGTATCTGATGATCCCCATGTTCAAAATTGTTACCCCTGCATAAACTCAGTTGAATAGTCCTACTTTATTACATCTAACTAAGTCTCCTTGGTCTTCCTCTCACCTTCCACGCAGATGTTCTGCTAAAAGAACGTCTCTTATGCAGTCTGGTCTGGCTGCATTCTCTCTAGATGGCTGAACCATTTCATTCTCTGTCTTTCAATGTCATTTAGACATGGCCTTGCTCCAACCTTTTCTCTAATGCTGGTTTCTGTGACCCTGTGCCTTTTTTGTGATACTGGTGACCTTCTGGAAACAATCCAGTGCTATAAATTGCGGTTCATCTGCAGCAATTACAACAAATCAATAGTGGCACACTCAATTAATTGTAGAAGGCACCACACTTCTGTGGCAACAGGCCACTTACCATCTGCAAACACTGTCATTACAAATAAAAAAATTTCAAGTCCAGAAATGGGCGAGAAACCAAAACTTTCCTCCTGAGTTTACTGACAGAAAAGGCGAAGAGGACAAATAAATAAAATTATTAACCAAACAAGACCTGTTTAGCTTAGCTGTCAGTGTTTCCATCCACACAAAAATACTGGGTTTATTTCACGGCTGTGTTGTTAAGTTCACATGTGCAGCTTTTTATAGAGATCTCTGGGGACTGCTGCCAAGCTTCAGAGTTTGTACTTTGTGGGACACTCTCTGCAGACAGCTAGCCATTCTGCAGATAGAAACACTGAGCTAGATGGGCATAAAACCCACTACAAAGAAGTTTATCCTTTCACCTTTAACCTTTAACCTTTTCTAGGAGGAACTGTTTGTTGGTGTTTGTGTGTCAGTAACTTACCGACAGTGATCCAGATGACCAGACGAAGCCAGGTCAGTTTCGTCAGTGACAGCATGAGAGCAATGTTGACCAGCATGCTTAGTGAGGGGAGCAGAGGGACTAGGGGGATCTGCAAAAAGATTGAATAGAAAGTAACGAGTTAGTTAATGCCCAGAAGCTCAGGTATAGGGGGCAGTTTGGTTCAAAGCCTCAGGTCTGGTAGGTTTAGGGCCTCAGGTCTGGTAGGGTTAATGCCGAGGAGCTCAGGTATAGGGGGCAGTTAGATTCAAAGCCTCAGGTCTGGTAGGTTTAGGGCCTCAGGTCTGGTAGGTTTAGGGCCTCTGGTCTGGTAGGTTCAGGGCCTCAGATCTGGTAGGTTCAGGGCCTCAGGTCTGGTAGGTTCAGGGCCTCTGGTCTTGTAGGTTCAGGGCCTCAGGTCTGGTAGGTTGAGGGCCTCAGGTCTGGTAGGTTCAGGGCCTCAGGTCTGGTAGGTTCAGGGCCTCAGGTCTGGTATGTTCAGGGTCTCAGGTCTGGTAGGTTCAGGGTCTCAGGTCTTGTAGGTTCAGGGTCTCAGGTCTATAGGTTCAGGGCCTCAGTTCTGGTAGGTTCAGGGCCTTAGGTCTGGTAGGTTCAGGGCCTCAGGTCTGGTAGGTTCAGGGCCTCAGGTCTGGTAGGTTCAGGGTCTCAGGTCTGGTAGGTTCAGGGCCTCAGGTCTGGTAGGTTCAGGGCCTCAGGTCTGGTATGTTCAGGGTCTCAGGCCTGGTAGGTTCAGGGTCTCAGGTCTTGTAGGTTCAGGGTCTCAGGTCTGTAGGTTCAGGGCCTCAGTTCTGGTAGGTTCAGGGCCTTAGGTCTGGTAGGTTCAGGGCCTCAGGTCTGGTAGGTTCAGGGCCTTAGGTCTGGTAGGTTCAGGGCCTCAGGTCTGGTAGGTTCAGGGTCACAGGTCTGGTAGGTTAAGGGCCTCAGGTCTGGTAGGTTCAGGGCCTCAGGTCTGGTAGGTTCAGGGCCTCAGGTCTGGTAGGTTCAAGGCCTCAGGTCTGGTAGGTTCAGGGCCTCAGGTCTGGTAGGTTTAGGGCCTCAGGTCTGATAGGGTTAATGCCCAGCAGCTCAGATATAGGGGGCAGTTAGGTTCAGGGCCTCAGATCTGGTAGGGTTAAACAAGGATAATTCCTATTTAACTTTGATGCAGTCTGCGGTCTAAACAAAACCAATAGCATACACACACATTAACTGCATAAGGCAGCCTCCAGAAATGCCAACACCAACAGAATGATGATGATAAATAACTAGCAGTGCCTTATGGGATTAACTGCATGTGCAACTAATGATCCTTTGTAACTACTCCTTTCGTTGATGATGAACTGTATTTCTGGTTTTGGCAGTTCTGATATTTGTTTCTCGAAGGACAATAATGGACATTCTGTGTGATTCTTGCTGGCACATCAACAAAGCTACCATTGCCAGAGTTGGACATTATCAAAGTCTAACCTACGTAAAATTAACGCCTGAGAAATGAGATGCCGGAGACAAGCGGCCAGCTTAAACATCCAAGACAAAGTTAGAAATGATATTTTCAGACAGACTGTAGGAACACCATGCAACAAATTCTTTGAGAAACATAAAATCAAATGGTTTGGTCATCTAGTGAGAATACAGACAGAACAACTACCAACACAGGCGCTACACAGGAACAGATCTGAAGTGAAAGCAAGAGGCCGCCCTGGGAGAACATGGATTGATGACATTAAAGAGCTTCTACACTGACACGGAATGACAAAAGCTAAAGCTGCCCATCAAGTAATGGATCACAAACTGTTCCTCCCCACAACGCTTAATGGCAGAAGTGGAAATTGATTATGATGATGATAAACGAAGCAACAATGGGGTGACCCATTTGTTATGAAGCTGGTACTGTGATTATATAATTACCAGTTCATGGAACCTGTCTTGCATATATCCTACAAAGCAGCTTGAACAGGCAGACAGACTGGTTGGATCTGCACCATAGGGTGGTGAATTGATACATGACAAGGCAGATGTGGTCAAGGCCCTTTGAGAACAGGCAACGGAATCAGTAGAGAAACAAGATTATTATGGCCTGGAGAGAATGAGGCACCTGGATGTAACCAGAGGGTCTGGACGGCTCACTACACTCAGAGGAAAGGCATGAGAGACATATAACCAGATTTTGACCGGTACCATCAGCACTGGAACTCTGTGCTGGCTGCTGAAGATGAGGACAGAGCATGCATGGGAATGCCCCAAATGCTGTGATGTCAATTTTTGACTCAATCAACTCAACTCATGTGTTTCATCAGGTATGGGAGAATGAACGAACTAAAGGTGGGTTTGACTCGTCTGCACTGAGGTCTGAACCTTAATGAATGGCTAATATCAGAACTGGAACTATACAGCTCCTTAAAAAACTCTCTTTCTTACCTCATCTGACAGATTCTGAAAAAAACATTCACATCCTGTAAAATGCAGCTTTTGCTTAAGCTATTCAACATTCAACTTCTCTAAAACTTAATTTAATAGTAAATTATTTTTGTTTTAAATCTATGTCACCCAAAAAGCCACAAACGCAAAGCTTCTTGTTTATCTTGTTTATTCTAATCCCAAGTAAATGTTTTACCAAATTGCTTTAATGGCTTGTTCACGAGAAGCGTAGCCAATAACATTGGTTCTGTTTGCATTTGCTCAAATGTTTAAGATGACGGGGAATTATTATATTTGCTAAACATAGCATTTAGGTGGGGTTTTCTTGTGTAAAAATAGCTTTATTTATAGAAACTCTGACACCAGAATTTCCCATGTCATAGTGGTAATCCAGTGATCAGTTTATAGGGTCGAGAATGTGTCACTGTATATATTTTTAGGCTCAAAGAGATGTAACCTGGGTAAATCTCTACTGAAATATTCCTCTTATTTTGTTTCATAAATTGAATTGTTAGGAATTTTTAGTGTGACCTTTGTAAAATGTATTTTTTTTTTTTTTAATTTAAAAAAAGAGGATTTTTGGGGAATTCCCAAAATAATAGTCACTGGCTTCATTTTTTTTTCTAGGTCACAGGGATGAAAGGGCTAAAGTGATCTTAGTTTTGCCATACTCGTCATCACCATGCACTATAATTCTTATACTGCCCTCTAGCATAGAACTGTTATCTAGAAAGATGCAAAGGTGCCAACAATGTAACAAATCCCACAATATATATTTATACTTGCCTGAAAAGTAAGGAATGCATCGTTCTTTTCATGGGCGACAATCACTAAGTAAAATATGACGATTAACAGACTGAAGATGATCACTAGTAGCACAGCCCACCATGTTGCTTTCTGGGAATACAAAATTTGGATTTTATAGGAAATAATGAAACAAACTGTTAACTTATATGAATCAAATATTGATGTATTTATTAAATTAATTTACGGTTGTTAGCATTGCTTGAAATATTGAAATTCAGTCAAACAATCAGTTGCTGTCTCTGCAGTAGCTGGGATGGATCTTCAGTACAATCTGTCTCTCTCCCTGGTGTGCTCTCTCTAAGTTTCCAAAACTGCAGTTCATCCATCTTTAAATACTCTCCTCCCATTTGTATATTTATGTCTTGCTCGGGGGGAAATGTAACGTTTGTTGATGAGCACTGCCAAGAGCACTATTAAGATTAAAATTTATTTCTATAAGGCTGTTTTTAATGCCATCACTCCATTTTTTCCCGAGGTCTTTTGCTCACTATATACAAGCTGTTTCAGTGTGGCTTATTGGGATAGATAGTACAGTATGATATTTAAAATATTTATATTCAGGCTAAGGACAGGACAAAACAAACTTCTTCAACACATGTCCAAACTTTTTGGTGCAGGAAATACAGAGACATGTTCCTGCAGGGTTGGTTGGTTGGTTGGTTAGTTAGTTAGTTAGTTAGTTAGTTAGTTAGTAAGTTAGTTAGTTAGTTAGTTAGTTAGTTAGTTAGTTAGTTAGTTAGTTAGTTAGTTAGTTAGTTAGTTAGTTTGTTAGTTTGTTAGTTAGTTAGTTAGTTAGTTAGTTAGTTAGTTAGTTAGTTAGTTAGTTAGTTAGTTAGTTAGTTAGTTAGTTAGTTAGTTAGTAAGTTAGTTAGTTAGTTAGGTTATCATCATTGCACTCCGGACATGTCCATAGGTGCTCAGATCCTCCCCTCAGTATGAACCCCAACGTCCGATGGCTAATAGTACCAGTTCTATGTTGATTAACAAGTCTTCTGGCGTAGCTGGTGTGCGTCTCGTTTTTTTGCTATGCCGATCTTAATTCCCAAGTCTGCCATTCTGGCGAGTGATGTGGATTCACTGCCCCCAAAGTCCTCTATCCTTCCCATTTCTCTGAGGGCATTAATGATATCAGCATGATCCATAGGCTGACCGTCGGTAGTGATAGCGGATCCAGCCAACCTATCAGTCTTCCATTTCCATCGACGCTTGCGTCTCCCGGTACAAAAATAAACGTGACTCCATGCACAGTTGACTTCTGTAATGATTCAAGCCATTGTCTTCGCACCGAACCTGCCTGAACCCTCCGGATCATACTCTTGAATCACTGAGTATACATACGCGGATGTAGTTTTGTGTAGGGTTTCAGCCAAAAAATGCTGAAAATGTACATTGTCAACTGCATGCTGACAAAACAGTTTTCTGACAGAAGGATCAAGGAACAAGAGGATATCTAAAAGAAGAAGAATGACTGAAGAAAAAAAAAGAAGGAGAATTAATCCTTGTTTTCTCACCATCAAGTACTCGGATCCCTCTAGCACAACCAGCCACAAACCAACCATGAATATGCCCATTAGGATAACTGCACTTTTGACACCCTCTCCTGGTTCAAAGCGACGGAGAATAGGAACCTGTCGTAGGTTTTGTCGCAGACGACCAAAGTCATCATGGCTTTTGGACTTGGGCAGCATGCTACTCTTCTCGGACTGAAGATAAAAATAAAATTTATACATCAAATGCCTGATACAACAAAGTATCACAATATATTCAACAATATCTCTACCATTGCCAGTCTAAAGCACGGATGAGAAAGGAGTAGGGTTGGGCATGGGACCAGCTTCCTCACCTAGTAAAACATTATGGTGCTTTATTATTATCCTACCCCTAACAGGGAAAATCCACAGGTCGCGGGAAAGTCTAATATTTCAGGGGGTGGTAGATAGGCTGCATGCAGGCATGAGACCTTGGCTGCATGCAGTCATGGGACCTAGGCTGCACTCTCTCGAGGGACCTTGGTGGATTGGGGTTAGGGCCAGTTCTAGATGTTTTGGGGTCATTAAAAGCATCAGAAAACCAGAAAACCCAGTCTTCCTACCCTCTAAAATGTTGGACTGCCCTGTGACGTCATCTAGGGTAGGATATTAACAAAGAACCAAAATTATTTGCTACAGAAACTTGTAGGAAAGGATGCAATTCCATTGAACAAATGAGTCTGGTGTTGTGGGCTGCACACGAATGATGTTTGCGGATGGAAGCTGCTCTGGGGAAATCAGTGGCCAGACCTGCACACTCATCATCATCATGAAGCAGGTCTTTTGCAGAACGTCACTCTCATCACAGTCTGCCTGAAAGAAACTCAGTCTCTCGCCAGCTCTTTCGACTAATAAGAGAAGAAGAAAAAGACCTTGGCTCTCTCCTTGACTCGTTGAAGGGAAGAAGAAGAAGAAAGAGAAGAAGATGAAGAAGAAGAAGAAGAAGAAGAAAGTTTTTTTGGCACAGAACATTAGCCTGTGAAGCCAGGAGCCAACAGTCTGCACACAATAAAGTAGATCTGAAAAACACAATGAAGTCCTAACTGAAGATCAAAATCCAGACATAGATGACCAGACAGGGCTTTCCGTCGAAGTTCATAGCCAGGGAATGAATGAATGAACAAGAAGCAGAAGAGGAAGGAGGAAGAAAAAAGGAAGAAGAGGAAGTTATATTATGTTCACTGGTTATGAACTCTTAACGGAAAGTCCTGGTTCTGGTTCATAACCAGTGAATGAGTGCATGAAGAAGAAGCAGAAGCGGAGGCATAGAAGACAAGAGGAAGAAGAAAAATAGGAGGAAGAATAGAAAAGTAAAGTAAAGGTCTCTTTTCCATGCCTCTAGGCGGGTAGGGCATATAGGGCTAGACCTATATTTTTAGACCAAGTGGCACAAGATGGGTGATGTGGTCAGCATCACGCCAGCCAACTTTACTTCCCAGGACTGCACCCGGTACCCACTCAAGGCTTGGTTGACCTGGGAGTTCAGGTCATTTTTTTTTTAAAGTCCAGCTCCACCAAGGAGTGATCAATGACCTTACGATCCACACGCAAGCATCAAGCCGTTTCACCACGGCAATTTCCAAAAAGAGTAGAAAAAGAAATACTACATTTATAAACTTGTTAAGCAGAATCTAAACAAGAAAGTTGATTACCTTGACTGGTGTAGAAGGGTCAGATTTTGATAATGGGGTAACTTCCGTTGCTGTGACAACTGGCGTATCAGAGGCAGCCATGACACTTGTTCCCTCTAATTGCTCTTCAGGTTTCAGCTGTGTAAATAATTACATCCCATAATTTATAAAGAAGAAGACTGATACAACCAAAGTATTACATCTTATAAGTAAATAAATCATCATCATGTGGCATTCCTAGGAGGGTTACAGGGTCCCCGGGGGGGGAGGGGGGGGGGAGATAATCTAGATTCTTTAGTCATGAGAGGGAGAAAACTTGAGTAAATCATGACTGTGGGAAAGTTGGAGGGAAAAAGAGGCAGGGAGAGGCTGAGAGAGACGAGGTTTGACTGTTTGACATGGTATGGAAGATCATCTGTGTCAGAACTGGTTGAAAGTATTCAAGACAAAATGTTCTTAATTTTATTACCAATGCTAAGGTTGTTAATACATGACTACTAATGCCACATAGTATGAAAGATCATTTGTGTCAGAATTAGTTGTAAGTAATCGAGACAGGATGTTGTTCGTTCATGACTACCAATGCCACCACATGGTATGGAAGATCATTTGTGTCAGAACTAGTTGAAAGTAAACCAGATAGAAGGTTGTTAATTTTACTACCAATGCCAAGGTCATTAATACATGACTACCAATGCCACCACATAGTATGGAAGATTGTTTGTGTCAGAACATGTTGAAAGTATTCAAGACAGAAGGTTGTTGGTACAGGACTACCAGTTCCACATGGTATGGAAGATCATTTGTGTCAGAACTGGTTGAAAGTATTCAAGACAGAAGGTTGTTAATTTAACTACCAATGCCAAGGTTGTTAAAACATGACTACCAATGCCACTACATAGTATGGAAGATTGTTTGTGTCTGAACTTGTTAAAAGTATTCGAGACAGAAGGTTGTTGGCACATGATTACCAGCTCTACATGGTATGGAAGATCATTTGTGTCAGAACTGGTTGAAAGTATTCAAGACAGAAGGTTGTTAATTTAACTACCAATGCCAAGGTTGTTAATTCATGACTACCAATGCCACCACATAGTATGGAAGATTGTTTGTGTCAGAACTTGTTGAAAGTATTCAAGACAGAAGGTTGTTGGTACAGGACTACCAGTTCCACATGGTATGGAAGATAATTTGTGTCAGAACTGGTTGAAAGTATTCAAGACAGAAGGTTGTTAATTTAACTACCAATGCCAAGGTTGTTAATACATGACTACCAATGCCACCACATAGTATGGAAGATTGTTTGTGTCAGAACTTGTTGAAAGTATTCAAGACAGAAGGTTGTTGGTACAGGACTACCAGTTCCACATGGTATGGATGATCATTTGTGTCAGAACTGGTTGAAAGTATTCAAGACAGAAGGTTGTTAATTTAACTACCAATGCCAAGGTTGTTAATACATGACTACCAATGCCACCACATAGTATGGAAGATTGTTTGTGTCAGAACTTGTTGAAAGTATTCAAGACAGAAGGTTGTTGGTACAGGACTACCAGTTCCACATGGTATGGAAGATCATTTGTGTCAGAACTGGTTGAAAGTATTCAAGACAGAAGGTTGTTAATTTAACTACCAATGCCAAGGTTGTTAATACATGACTACCAATGCCACCACATAGTATGGAAGATTGTTTGTGTCAGAACTTGTTGAAAGTATTCAAGACAGAAGGTTGTTGGTACAGGACTACCAGTTCCACATGGTATGGAAGATCATTTGTGTCAGAACTGGTGGAAAGTATTCAAGACAGAAGGTTGTTAATTTAACTACGAATGCCAAGGTTGTTAATACATGACTACCAATGCCACCACATAGTATGGAAGATTGTTTGTGTCAGAACTTGTTGAAAGTATTCAAGACAGAAGGTTGTTGGTACAGGACTACCAGTTCCACATGGTATGGAAGATCATTTGTGTCAGAACTGGTTGAAAGTATTCAAGACAGAAGGTTGTTAATTTAACTACCAATGCCAAGGTTGTTAATACATGACTACCAATGCCACCACATAGTATGGAAGATTGTTTGTGTCTGAACTTGTTGAAAGTATTCGAGACAGAAGGTTGTTGGCACATGATTACCAGCTCTACATGGTATGGAAGATCATTTGTGTCAGAACATGATTACCAGCTCTACATGGTATGGAAGATCATTTGTGTCAGAACTGGTTGAAAGTATTCAAGACAGAAGGTTGTTAATTTAACTACCAATGCCAAGGTTGTTAATACATGACTACCAATGCCACCACATAGTATGGAAGATTGTTTGTGTCTGAACTTGTTGAAAGTATTCAAGACAGAAGGTTGTTGGTACAGGACTACCAGTTCCACATGGTATGGAAGATCATTTGTGTCAGAACTGGTTGAAAGTATTCAAGACAGAAGGTTGTTAATTTAACTACCAATGCCAAGGTTGTTAATACATGACTACCAATGCCACCACATAGTATGGAAGATTGTTTGTGTCAGAACTTGTTGAAAGTATTCGAGACAGAAGGTTGTTGGCACATGATTACCAGCTCTACATGGTATGGAAGATCATTTGTGTCAGAACATGATTACCAGCTCTACATAGTATGGAAGATCATTTGTGTCAGAACATGATTACCAGCTCTACATGGTATGGAAGATCATTTGTGTCAGAACATGATTACCAGCTCTACATGGTATGGAAGATCATTTGTGTCAGAACATGATTACCAGCTCTACATGGTATGGAAGATCATTTGTGTCAGAACATGATTACCAGCTCTACATGGTATGGAAGATCATTTGTGTCAGAACATGATTACCAGCTCTACATGGTATGGAAGATCATTTGTGTCAGAACATGATTACCAGCTCTACATGGTATGGAAGATCATTTGTGTCAGAACATGATTACCAGCTCTACATGGTATGGAAGATCATTTGTGTCAGAACATGATTACCAGCTCTACATGGTATGGAAGATCATTTGTGTCAGAACATGATTACCAGCTCTACATAGTATGGAAGATCATTTGTGTCAGAACATGATTACCAGCTCTACATGGTATGGAAGATCATTTGTGTCAGAACATGATTACCAGCTCTACATGGTATGGAAGATCATTTGTGTCAGAACTGGTTGAAAGTATTCAAGACAGAAGGTTGTTAATTTAACTACCAATGCCAAGGTTGTTAATACATGACTACCAATGCCACCACATAGTATGGAAGATTGTTTGTGTCTGAACTTGTTGAAAGTATTCAAGACAGAAGGTTGTTGGTACAGGACTACCAGTTCCACATGGTATGGAAGATCATTTGTGTCAGAACTGGTTGAAAGTATTCAAGACAGAAGGTTGTTAATTTAACTACCAATGCCAAGGTTGTTAATACATGACTACCAATGCCACCACATAGTATGGAAGATTGTTTGTGTCAGAACTTGTTGAAAGTATTCGAGACAGAAGGTTGTTGGCACATGATTACCAGCTCTACATAGTATGGAAGATCATTTGTGTCAGAACATGATTACCAGCTCTACATAGTATGGAAGATCATTTGTGTCAGAACATGATTACCAGCTCTACATGGTATGGAAGATCATTTGTGTCAGAACATGATTACCAGCTCTACATGGTATGGAAGATCATTTGTGTCAGAACATGATTACCAGCTCTACATGGTATGGAAGATCATTTGTGTCAGAACATGATTACCAGCTCTACATGGTATGGAAGATCATTTGTGTCAGAACATGATTACCAGCTCTACATGGTATGGAAGATCATTTGTGTCAGAACATGATTACCAGCTCTACATGGTATGGAAGATCATTTGTGTCAGAACATGATTACCAGCTCTACATGGTATGGAAGATCATTTGTGTCAGAACATGATTACCAGCTCTACATGGTATGGAAGATCATTTGTGTCAGAACATGATTACCAGCTCTACATAGTATGGAAGATCATTTGTGTCAGAACATGATTACCAGCTCTACATGGTATGGAAGATCATTTGTGTCAGAACATGATTACCAGCTCTACATGGTATGGAATATCATTTGTGTCAGAACATGATTACCAGCTCTACATGGTATGGAAGATCATTTGTGTCAGAACATGATTACCAGCTCTACATGGTATGGAAGATCATTTGTGTCAGAACATGATTACCAGCTCTACATGGTATGGAAGATCATTTGTGTCAGAACATGATTACCAGCCCTACATGGTATGGAACATATAGAGATATACAACCAGACTATTATTGCAACCTCTGGATTGGGACTCTGCGTTTGCTGCTTAAGATGAGGATGAAGCACTTATGGGAATTTTCTAATTGCTATGATGTCAGCTGTTAATTCATAACTTGTAACATAAAATCATTCAATTATCTTAATCTGACAGACATGTGTCACTGCACGCCTTACCTTAAACTGACATTTACTGACAGGTTGGTACCGAAGGATGATGATGCTTGCAGATACAATTGTGTAACCAAACAATGTGCCAATGCTTATAAACTCTACCAACGTCGTGATTTCAAACAACAAAGCCATCAGTGCAGCCAGTAATCCAAAAATGATGATTGCAAATATTGGTGTCTGAAATAAATATTTCTTATTTATACAAATCCAACCAAATGGTACACACACTTTGGCAAGAGAAAACAATGTTTTAAAATAAATGTAATACTTAATTTATACAGATATCACTTGTAACACCCTTATTCTCCTTCTCCTTCTTCTGCCGCTGCTGCATTTATTTTGTTATTCGTGACCACTGTACTGTGAAGCAGACTAAATCTACTTCAAGTCTGGGTTGGTATTTAATTTTTTTTATAACAATACAGACACCTGAGCCTACAGACCAGAGGCTGGACTAGCTCAGACATGTCATTTCCACCAAGTGCCAAGTCAATGCCACCAAGTCCCAAGTCAATGCCACTAAGTGCCAAGTCAATGCCACCAAGTGCCAAGTTACTGCCACCAAGTCCCAAGTGATTGACACCAAGTCCCAAGTCACTGCCACCAAGTCCCAAGTCACTGACACCAAGTCCCAAGTCACTGCCACCAAGACCCAAGTCCCTGCCACCAAGTCCCTAGTCACTGCCACCAAGTCCCCAGTCACTGCCATCAAGTCCCAAGTCACTGACACCAAGTCCCCAGTCATTGCCACCAAGTCCCAAGTCACTGACACCAAATCTCCAGTCACTGCCACCAAGTCCCCAGTCACTGCCACCAAGTCCCAAGTCACTGCCACCAAGTCCCAAGTCACTGACACCAAGTCCCAAGTCACTGACACCAAGTCCCAAGTCCCTGCCACCAAGTCCCAAGTCACTGCCACCAAGTCCCCAGTCACTGCCACCAAGTCCCAAGTCACTGCTACAAAGTCCTAAGTCACTGCCACCAAGTACAAGGTCATGTCTCAAGTCACCAAGAATGATTCCAAGCTGAGTCCTGAGTCAAGTCATTTCATTTAGCAATTCATTTGAAAGAAATGCATGGGACAATGCTTTTGGATTAAACTGGTTGGTCTCTTACAAAACTAAAACAACAGCCAACAATTGTTAAAAATGGTATTATGTAAAATCACTTAACTATATATATAAAAGCCGAAGAAGTTGAATGTGAAAGCTTGATTTATCTAAATAGAGTTTGTTCTGTCCTGTTTTATATACAGACATTTAAAATTGAGACGCTGGTCACCAGACTGGACAGTGGGTGACTGCAAAGAATGATTTGTATCATCGATACACTACAAGTTATATGTCAAGTCAGGAGTCTTTGTACAAAACCCCAAGTTGAGTCACAAATCATTAATTATGAAATGAAAGTTACTCTCAAGTCCACGTGACTAAAGATCTGACCACTGCTACAGACCCACCTGTGTTCGTGGGTGGATGTAAGCCAGAAAGTGAAACAAAAGTCCATCCTCTGCCATGGCATAGACTGACCGAGGACACGAGAATGCAGAACCAAGTAACGATGTTGTTATCCCCAGCAGAGTCCCAAACGCAACAATGTACTTTGCCCAGTGAGCACCGACCTCATCAAAAGCAAATGGAAAAGCCGCTGAAAAAAGGGAAAGAAATGATAAACAATCTGTGAGCACCATTGATCTTTCCGGACAATCGGTATGTTATTGTAGTTTACGTGCACACCACCCCGGGGAATTCCAGGATGACTGTGTTCCGCTGCATGGCAATCATAACCCCTGGCATGGTTTGTGCAAATGGCAAGAATCCAAATTAAATATAGGGGGTAATCAATAAACATGACCTTTATTACTGAGGCTTAAGGGAAAATATGAAATCAACTAAGCTTTGAAAAGCGATTGGGGGTCGTCAGGAAACCCCCATAATTGCTATTTTTGTTTACTATATTCACATCCTGGTTTATTAAACATAGACTCCCATTAAATGCAATTTAACTTCACTTTTTGAGAATATGATTTTTGGCTTCTTCACTAGCAACAGCAATGCCTTCAAAAAATTTAATAAGACGAATAACAGTAAACATCTATAAGACCCTATCAGCAGACTCGAAAGAAAGCAACATACAACAATTTTCTGTCTACGAACAGGACACTGCAGGCTCAATTACCACACGCATAAAATAAAGATTGTACAGTCCCCACAGTGTGCCTGTCAAACAGGACCACAAACACCTGAGCACATTCTGCAGACCTGCCCACTCTACCTACAACTTCGAAAAGACACCTGGCCTCAAGAGCAAAGTGTGCAGAGCAAGCTATGGGGAACCATGAAGGACCTGCTACTGACATGCGAGTTCATAGAAGCAACCCACCTGATGGTCTGATCTGAGCATACGAATCCAAGCTCAAAGAAGAAGAAGTAACAAAAGAATCAAAAAGTGAATGAGATTTCAGGACTATTGATGCCACCACATGTCTTTGACATGTTTGTTCTCATATGCTCTTTTTTTTTACCTGCTGCAATCCTGTTCTCTTTTTCTCCTAGTCTAAACCCACAATGTGCTGGACTTGTTTCATTTCTGACCATCTTATCGACTGACTCAACCTAAATGGGGTCAGGAAGTGTCATGGGAAATAAAGGGGGTTAGTATGATGTTGACCACCTCCACATGTGGGTTCTAGGGTCCCACTGGGTTGGGAGTCTGTGGAATGGACACACTGCTGATAAACAAATATATCCTAAAAAGTGACTAGATAAGGAATTACTGAAATTGAATGATTTCGGCTGAAAGGTGCAGATATTATGTTATGTTTTCACAACTAACGTCGCTGCGTACTGGACAATCCCATGCGTGCTCAGTCCTCCGATGCAGCAGCCGCTCCAAGGTACTTCCACTGATTTTTCCCATGAGAAATCAATTATAGTGTTCCCTGTCTTGGCTTTGAAGACAGCATAAATGTGTTTTACTAAGCCTCACAGCCAAGCAAGTGAATTAGTTATTTAGAACACAAAACTAATAAATATGTCAGAGACAAAATATATAAACTGTAGGGGCATCAGGAGCCTCTCTTGGCAGTGGTGAAACGTTGCAAGCTAGCTGGGTTTGGGCACATGGGGAGACATGATTTGATTACAAAGACTTTACTTCAAGGAACATTGGGGGGTAGTCAAAGAAGATGAGGGCAAAGAAGAACCTGGAATAACAACATCAAGAAATGGACAGAACTAAGTTATCATACACACATTCATCAAGCGGAAGACAGAGAAAGATGGCGGGTTTTATGTGCTAGTGCTTTTATCAAGACACCTCCACGACCCTGATGGGTCAAGGGTTATGTTATGTTATGTTACAGCCAAGCTGTAAACCACAATACAATGTGCCACCACCGTTTTCAAGATGAATACAGAAAAAAAATTCTTATTAAATCATCATCATCATGTGCTTTGCCGGTAAGTGTAGACTGTCATGCTTAGCGATCTCACACGATTACCACAATCAAGAATCAGGTCTGTGTTCTTGCTTCACTCCATTGACTCTTATGACATGCTTGTTAGGAAGGCAGTGGGCCTATTCTTGTTTTTTTCCCCACAGTGGGACCTGGGAACCCATCCAGGGAATCTGGTGTCATGAAATTAATATACTCTAACTTTAACTCTTGATCCTCTCAACTTTAACTCAACTCTTGATCCTCTCAACTTTAACTCTCGATCACCATGACTTTAACTCTTGCTCCTATCAACTTTACCTCTTGATCCTCTCAATGTTAACTCTTGATCCTCTCAACTTTAACTCATGATCATCATGACTTTAACTCTTGATCCTCTCAACTTTAACTCAACTCTTGATCCTCTCAACTTTAACTCTTGATCCTCTCAACTTTAACTCTTGATCCTCTCATTTTTAACTCTTAATCCTCTCAACTTTAACTCTTGATGCTCATGACTTTAACTCTTGATGCTCATGACTTTAACTCTTGATCCTCTCAACTTTATCTCTTGATTCTCTCAACTTGAACTCTTGATTCTCTTGACTTTAACTCTTGATCTTCATGACTTTAACTCTTTATCCTCATGTCTAATAACTCTTGATCCTGTCAACTTTAAACTCTTGATCCTGTCAACTTTAACTCTTGATTCTTTAGACTTTAACTCTTGATCCTCTTGACTTTAACTCTTGATTCTCTTGACTTTAACTCTTGATTCTCTTGACTTTAACTCTTGATCTTCATGAATTTAACTCTTTATCCTCATGACTATAACTCTTGATCCTGTCAACTTTAACTCTTGATCTTCCCAACTTTAACTCTTGATTCTCCTGACTTTAACTCTAGATCCTCATGACTTTAATTTTTGATCCTCCCAACTTTAACTCTTGATCTTCCCAACTTTAACTCTTGATCCTCACAATTGTAACTCTTGATCCTCCCAACTTTAACTCTTGGTATAACCAACAGCTAGGGCTTTTTCCTAGAAAAAAAAGTGTCGGTACTCACAACAAAGTGTTAAACAGATGCCAGCACTCACAACAAAGTGTTAAAAACAGATGCCAGCACTCACAACAAAGTGTTAAAAACAGATGCCAGCACTCACAACAAAGTGTTAAAAACAGATGCCAGCACTCACAACAAAGTGTTAAAAACAGATGCCAGCACTCACAACAAAGTGTTAAAAACAGATGCCAGCACTCACAACAAAGTGTTATAAACAGATGCCAGCACTCACAACAAAGTAGCGATTACAATAGTGGTGAATCCATCATCTATTTCTCAATACCTGTGTTTGTTTTCGAAATTTTAGGATTGTAAGTACATGTTTTTTTTCTTTTCAAAGATGGCGACTATTGCCATGGCAACCATTATTTTTTTTTTAAACTTAAAGTATGCAAATGTATTAACATATATCCCTACAAATGAGCATTATAAAATAATTGGTAAATCACTATTATTAATTTAAAATATTTTGATGTAGTGACCCCTTAACAACTCTCTGTCAGCGATTCTGAAGCTGTCCACTTCCAAAACTAAGACCACACATAAACAGTTTATTAATAAATAGTATGTTGTTTGAAATATTTGTTTGTCCTCACATGGTAATAAGCTTTGGACTCGGTGGATTGCGTGGATGAAACCTCCTATTGCTTCAATGGACAAGAAGGCATTTACCAGCAGGCTCTGTAGAGAGCTTCAAGTAAGGCAGGGCACTTAAAACACCTTGGTCATCCACTGGTCATCCACTGCACCTAGGTCCATTTCCAGTCGTCCTGCCATTGGATCAAGATGGACACAGGCAAGAGAGTAAGGTCGACGAATTGCGCAACTCTTCTTCCTTTAAATCCAAGTCCTTGCATAAGTCACTTTTCATCACTTTTCAATATGCTTTAAACACGAACAGTCACAATCAATGACCTCTGACCTGAAGTGTTTGTGTCAAAGTAGGGAATCATCAGTGTCAAACTGGCGCTAGCTAGCAGGTACAGGCAGGTGACAGTCAGCAGCGAGAGAGCTGTAGCTTTCGGGATGCTCTTCTCTGGATTTTTGGCTTCCTCCCCGGCAACGGCAATGCCTTCAAAGCCGATGTAAGCAAAAAAGCAGGTGGCAGCACCAGACAGTGTGCCACCAAAGCCAAATGGGAAAAAGCCTCCATACCTGCAGGGAATGTTAACTTTCTGTAAAGTTAATACTTTCAATTGACTGTAAAAATGTAATTTAGTAATTTTATCCTGTTGCTCTGCAAATGCTAAAAACAATTTGGGCCATGAAATTCCCAGAAGAATCATTTAAAAAATAACCATTTTACAAAGGTCACTAATAAATTTGTAAGAAATTTATATATCTGCATTTTAATCCCCCCTCCTCCCCTTCCTTCCTCCCAGAAATAAAAAGATATAAAAAACGGGCAATCAATAATCATGTCCTGGGAAGTAGAGGCGGACGGCGTGATGCTGACTTCATCATTCATCTTGGGCCAATTGGTCTATAAAATATAGGTCTAGCCCTATATGCCCTATACGCCTAAAGATGTAGAAACCATAGAATTTAACTACACATTTTGAGAACAGGTTATTGCTGATAGACCTATGATTTGGTATTCACAGGATACCAAGTCACAAGCAGAAGTCACTAGATTTATTCGTTGGATGGTGACAGGATTAACTTGCGATTTAAAGAAAAGATGGTTGTTGGTTTGAACATCACGGCACAAGGGTAGTAACCCATAAGTGTTATATTCTACTTCTAACTCAAGTCTGAGTCCAAAGAATCTCAGCGCAGTACACAACTCCATAGCACCGGCGAGGATCCTAAACTATTTTGGTAGATTTTTACCTCCAAATTTTGCCAGGGCAGCGCCGTTAAGCTACTCTTTTTGATTTCTAACTGCCAAGGGATATTTTACATGCACAACAATACACACGGGCATCTGATCTCACTACCCACAGACCAGGGGAAGTTACTAGAAGTCCACGAGAAAAAATCCCAGCCTTCACAGCGGCCTGAACCTGGGACGTCCTGCACTCGAGGCGGACGCCATGCCTGGAGATCACTCAACCCCCCTTTAAAGAAAAGATTGAAAACAGTAACTAAATTTACTCACCCTCCACTGATGGACCACAGACTTGTGTTGGCAAATGTAAAGCCAGCGATGATGATGAACAGCAACACAAAAGCATTGAGTACAGTGAACACACTGTTGAAATTCACGGAAATCTTGGCTCCGAATCCGATGATGATGAAAGCGATGATGGTGATGCCCGTGGCTACAAGATCTGGATATTCTGAGAGCCACTCATTGTCTTGGGACAGATGACCTGAAAGGTCAAGGGTCAGAGTGTAATCTCTATTTTTAGAAATGGAAGAAAGGGAACAATAACTATTCCTAAAGATGCTGCCATGTGGCATTGGTAGTCATGTCTATCCACAACCTTCTGTTTAACTTACTGTCAGTCTTATAGTCCATGCCGTGTGGCATTGGTAGTCATGTCTATCCACAACCTTCTGTTTAACTTACTGTCAGTCTTATAGTCCATGACATGTGGCATTGGTAGTCATGTCTATCCACAACCTTCTGTTTAACTTACTGTCAGTCTTATAGTCCATGCCGTGTGGCATTGGTAGTCATGTCTATCCACAACCTTCTGGCTTGTGTACTTTCAATCACTTCTGACACAGATGATCTTCCATGCATGATGTCAAAATGTCAAGCATCTTCTCTCTGTCTCCTTCTGCCTCTTTTCCCCTCCAACTTTCCTATGGTCATGATGTACTCCAGTTTTCTCCTTCTTATGACAAGACCAGCAAATTTAGATTGTCTCCTTCGTTTGTTTTAGTATCCAGAAGCCATGAGTTGTTAACCCTTAGGCTCGGTATTATGGATATCGCAACCTTTCGGCCTTGATTCCATTGTAAATACCGTAAATCTGGGAGAAAATGTGGCTTTCCTGCCTACCCCCGGGATTGAACCCGGACCACAAGGAGTACGTCACCCGGTCTCCGCGAAATCCGGTTTAGCCAATTCCGCTAGAGAGCCGGGCATTGTCTCCTTCTGATGTGAGCAATCAGTTCTCCTCGTGAGTCAGTTGTTTTCAAGACATCTTCATTACTCTTTTTAAAAAAAAATCTGTCAAGGGTGTTCTCAGATAAGTCTATAAAACGTTCTTCAGTGCTTTCAAATAACTGTTTTGCTAATCATCTAACTGTCCATAATTTACTTTCGTATATCAAGATGGGATTCATATAGATCATGATAGTTTTCTTGTACACCTCAACAAACAAACTTAATTCATATGAAATCCTATATAAAACACATGCACAAACCAAGATGAGTAATTGTTCCATTTCTGATGGCCTGGTTAAAGACAGCATCTAAAGCTCCACTCCATGCCCTGGCAACAGAGGCTGCACCAATCACATGCTCAAGAATAACATTCCAGCCAATCAGAAATCCCCACAGCTCACCAATGGTCACATAAGTATAGGAGTAGGCGGAGCCAGCTAATGATTGGATAAACACATGTACTGGTTAATACAATGGTAAGCAATGGTCATATTGTTATGTGAACAAGTGCAGAGCAATGAACATGGAGTTTTACTTGCTGCAACAAGCTAGTGTCCAAGAAAGCTGGCTAGATACCCAAACCAAATTTTCTCCCAAATACTTAAGTCGATTCTCTAGTAGACATAAACATTGTTTTATTTTCAGACTAAGGACATGGCACAACAGACTTCACCAACGTATGCTCACATTTTTTGGGTGTAGGAAACAATTAGATGCCCCTGCAACTTGGCACCTGAAAATGCTAAGTATGTACATGATTACGTAAAGTGTACGCTGCCAGAAGGGAAACGATCTGGCCTGTAACCACTTCAATCAAGACAAAGCTGTATGGTACACAAGGAGATTTGGACTGCATGAAAGCTATCGAAAGGCTCCTGCAGTTTTAAGTTTTCTGATATAAGGATCAAAGAAGAAGAAGAAGAAGAAGAAGAAGACGCTGCAAAAATTCCAGGTGTAGGAAGTTATAATGGAAAAGGCAAACATTCTGAGCTCTTCTCATGAATGTTTGCTATATGAAAACATAATGTTCGACATAACTCATGCAAGAATGTGTCATTAACTTTTTCAGTCCAAGAAGATCATAGCTGATGTCCTGTTGTGACAGCCAAAATTATAGGTATATTACATCCTCAGGGACTAAATGTACAACACAGTGTAGGAGACAAATGTTTTGCTGTGACTAAACTTCACCATCATCAAGTGCCTTGCCAGCTGGTGTAGGCATTCATGCATCTCCACAGATGTCGGTCTTTGGTGGTCTGGATCAATTCCACTGATGATATTCTTCCATGCCACTGTCTTAAGCCATCCACCATCATTTCTCTTGGTCTGCCTCTGCCTTTTCTACCAGTGATCTTTCCAGTCGTCAGGATATTTTCCAGTGTACCTCTTCTCATCACATGACTTTAGAACTTTGTTTGTCTCCTTCTCATTGTTATATTTAATGTTCTACTATTATTAGCCATTTCACGTCAATCATTGTTAGTTATTCTGCCCGTCCAAGGTATTTGCAAAATTCTTCTCAAGAACTGCATCTCAGGTGCATCCAAACTCTTCTTAATTTGTTTGCTCACATTACATGATTCTGCGATCGAAACTCACTGCTGACTGCATGGGTTTTTACCATGGTATGGGACGTCGCAGGTTGGCCCAGCCTAAAATGTGTACCAGGATGGGCTGTCCTGGGAAAGTAAAGACAGCCGGCGTAATGCTGACCACATTACCCACCGAGTGCTGATGGTCTGTAAAAATATGGGCGCTCTTCCCATATGCCCGTTGCGCCGAAAGGCGTGAAAAGGAATCTTTGCTTGCTTACATGATTCACTGCCATACAACAGAACAGGTCCGATATAACATTTCAGTACTCGTTTTCTGATGATGGGTCTGTGCCGGACTAAAGAAACTTATACAGTGGCACTTTAGGTCATGGATGCCTCTAAGCATGAACTAATCGGTCCACAAACACAGTATCTGAATAAATTTTGACTTGACCCGCAAAAAATGCTTCGGTCCACGAATGCACAAACATGGCTTTGGGGCCATGTTTTTGGCTAACATACAAGAAAGTTGTACTCAGGTTTGTATGCTATGAAAGGTATTTATCTTTGCCTTGTTCTTGATACAATGTTTTCCTGGTATTGCATTTAATTACCCCTTTCATGGCTCCCAGGAAAGTGAAAAGTGTTTGTGACCATGGTGTAAAGAAGTCTAAGCATATTACAGTAGAAAAAAAGAAGGATACAATAACTAAACATGAAAATGGTGTTCATATTACCGATCTCAGGAAGCTGTAAGACATGACTAAATCTACAATCCATACTATCTACAATCCGTACTATCTACAATCCATACTATCTACAATCCATACTATCTACAATCCGTACTATCTACAATCCACACTATCTACAATCCGTACTATCTACAATCCGTACTATCTACAATCCGAACTATGTACAATCTGTACTATCTACAATCCGTACTATGTACAACTCGCACTATCTACAATCTGTACTATGTACAATCCGTACTATCTACAATCTGTAATATGTACAATCCATACTATCTACAATCTGTAATATGTACAATCCGTACTATCTACAATCTGTATTATCTACAATCCATACTATCTACAATCCGTACTATCTACAATCCACACTATCTACAATCCGTACTATCTACAATCCGTACTATCTACAATCCGAACTATGTACAATCTGTACTATCTACAATCCGTACTATGTACAACTCGCACTATCTACAATCTGTACTATGTACAATCCGTACTATCTACAATCTGTAATATGTACAATCCATACTATCTACAATCTGTAATATGTACAATCCGTACTATCTACAATCTGTAATATGTACAATCCGTACTATCTACAATCTGTAATATGTACAATCCGTACTATCTACAATCTGTATTATCTTAAAGAACAAGCTGCGCTAAAGATGACTGATGTGGTTAAAAGAGGTACTGTGTTAATTAAACAAAGCCCATCATTAGGAAAACAGGAACAGACCCACTGCCTCCCCAAAGCATGTCGTAAGAGTCGACTAATTGGGGAGCTTCCTTTGAAGTCGGAGTGCATCCACCTGAGAGGCAAGGAACCAACAGTCTGCATTCAAGTGAATCAGATCTGTAAAACTGAGGCACACTCAGGTTCTGGAGCAGGACAGCAGTTCAGAAGTGGATGAACAGCCAGAACTTTCCACCAGAGTGTACAGCTGGTAAACGAGAAGAAGAAGAAGAAGAAGAAGAATTTAACAAAGCTCTCAATTGTTAGAAGAAGTAGAATAATCAAAGTTAGCCACTGAGCCAGCAATCAAACCACTGCTTAGGATACAAACAAGAACAAAAATACAGGAAATACCCAAAAAGTTGTCCAAAGTTATAATGGAATGGAACTCTCCTTCGAAGGAGTAGTCTTCCTCCTACTCCTCTTCTATCTGCCTGTGCCAGCAATAATCAAACCCAAAGGTCAAGTTATACCATATACTGGGAGTCGCCGTGGCAGAGCGGCTAGACGCGCGCCGCGGATCAGAAGGTCGTGAGTTTGCTCCCTGGTGAAGCCGGACTTTTCTTCAAAAATGACCTTGGCTCCCAGGTAGACCCAGCCTTGAGTGGGTACCGGGTGCAGTCTTGGGAAGTAAAGGCGGCCGGCGTCATGATGCTAACCACATCAGCCATCTTGTGCCGTTGGTCTATAAAAATATAGGTCTAGCCCTATATGCCCTATATGCCTAAAGGCGTGGAAAAGGTCTTTCACTTTTTTTTTAAATACCATATACTGTATATTTTATATTTTGGTTACACATAAATCCATACAAATTTCAGGGTGAGATTTTAAAAAAAAAAAAGGGGGGGGGGTGGATATTGTATGCAGCTATCCGGGAAGGCTAACATGGTCAACAAATGCCCGCAGAAGTCGGATGTGTTGGCCAAAAGGTGCAAATATCGCAGCTATGCTGTAAATGGACACAAGACAATTACATCTTCGGGTGAACGCAGAAGAAGAAGAAGTATGCAGCTATAAAAAATGATAGCCCTGCATGTGGAAAAAGGATCCTTTTCCACGCCTTTAGGCGATCTGGGCATATAGGGCTAGACCTATATTTTTATAGACTAATTAGCACTTTGTTGGTGATGTGGCCATCAAAACAGTGAGTCATACTAGTACGTAGGTGAGTCATACTCGTACGTAGGTGAGTCATACTAGTACGTAGGTGAGTCATACTAGTACGTAGGTGAGTCATACTAGTACGTAGGTGAGTCATACTAGTACGTAGGTGAGTCATACTAGTACGTAGGTGTAATAAACCTTGGTTTGACTTGAAATGTACCTTGGCTCACTACATATTGGCTTTTGCCACGGCTCCCTCTCTGGATGTTTACTGCTACAAAACTTGCACTGCTTTAACGTCTAGGGTTGACAACACAAACACCACTATGCTTCTTTGTACATGCCGTCAGTTTATTCTGGTCCATTTCTTCCACATGTTCAAACAATTATTCTCACTTTCATCGCTTACGACAAATTCAAACACTAGCCATTCTCGCGACATAAAGACGACATCTTCAATTACTACAACCATCTTCTCTGACTTCTGTTGATCAACTGACCACGAGTCTAGCTCGGGCTGCCCCTCGCTTGCTCCACTAGCCCCAATTATCTCGTGCTGTCACTTGTAACACGGACTTTCTGCTGGCCACAATGTACTCGTGGAGACCATGCAAAGCAGGGTCATTACAATAGGCATAAAAAATTTTTTAAATGTAGGTATGTAGATGCATTCATATGTGCAAGTGCAGTATGTAAATATAAATACTTACCTTTTGGGATTCGGGCTCCAAATTCGGCATAACACAAGGCACTAAGAAATGCGGCCACTCCAGCAAACAAGAAACTGAGAACTGTGGATGGCCCGGCCTTATCATGAACTACCGTACCTGGATTCATCGAAGGCAATAATAAGTTTAGCCACATTAAAAGGTAGGTTTATTTTTAGGGTTAGCACTTTTCCAACTTACTTAATTATTCGCTCCTCTTCTAACCTGGGGTATGGAGGTTGACTAGAGAGATCATCAAACTTCTCTATCATCAGTTTTCTTTCTGGCTTTGTTCCGTTCCAGTCCTCTGTAAGTTTGGGACTGTTGAATGATGTCTTCCCAGCAGACCCTGTGTCACCCTGGATCTATTCATCCACACATCCATCCATCTACGCATCCACCAATCTACATATCCACACATCCCCCCATCCACCAGTCCACATATCCATGCATTCACACATCTGCTTTGTTTTTGGTTGATTTGTCTCTAATCCTTGCTATAATTGTGACTCACTGGTCCCGTATCATAAAACACAGTCACAAACTGGCACTTGAGCTCAGTCCTTATTTGTGTTCAATTGATTGGCGCCGACAGATGGTTCTCATTGTTAATATGGACAACAAAATATGGTAGCTGTGTAAAGAGGCAGTCTATAAGTAGACTTGAAGCAAGTCACATGGAGGCAGGCTTATGGACAGACTAATAGATGGATGGATGGATGGAGGCATGTATGTGTTGGATGCATGGATGGATGGATGCATTTATGGATGCATGCATGGATGGATGAGGCATGGATGGATAGATGCATGCATGGATGGATGGATGCATTTATGGATGGATGCATGGGTGCATGGATGGATGGATGCATAGCTGCTTGGATGGATGGATGCATCGGTGCATGCATGGATGGGTTTGTGCACATATGCATGGTGCATGGATGTATGTATGGATGTGTGCATGGATGCATGGTGCATGGATGGATGGATGGGTGAGTGGATGCATGCATGGATAAATGCGTGAATGGATGCTTGCAAGGAGGCATGGATGGGTGGATGGAACCTGCCTTGTAGCCTGCAGTTCTCATGTAGCATGCAATTCTTATCACCCTACCAACCCACCAATCTACCTGTCTTTCTGTCTGTCTGGATGAGTGCTTTCTTTGACACCTCTCTCACCTGTCATCTTACTAATCTACCTAAATACATACTTGTTTATCTGTCTGTCTATCAGTCTGTCTGTATGTCTGCCACTCAGTCAATCTGAATGTTCGTGTATATCTCTGACTCTGAGTGTCAGTCTGTCTATGAGTCTTTCTACCTGCTAATCAGTCTATCTTCCAATCAGTTTGCATGACTATCTGTCTGTCTGACTGCTTGTTTATCAGTCTGTCTGTATGTCTTCCTAGAGTCTGTCTGGGTGTCTCTCTATGAATCTGTTTGCCTGTCTATCAGTATGTCTATCCATCAGTCGGCCTGTCTCCATGCCTATCTACCAATTTGTATGTCTGTCTTGAGTGCATTTCTTAACACCCGCCTCCCACCTGTCAACACAATGAAGCCCCCTCCCACCTGTCAACACAATGAAGCCCCCTCCCACTGTCAACACATAGAAGCCCTCTCTCACCTGTCAACACATAGATGCCACCTCTCACCTGTCAACACTGCCCATCTCACCTGTCAACACACAGATGCCCCCTCTCACCTGTCAACACATAGATGCCCCCTCTCAGCTGTCAACACATAGATGCACCCCTCTCACCTGTCAACACATAGAACCCTCTCTCACTTGTCAAAACATATATGCACCCGTCTCACCTGTCAACACATAGATGCCCCCTCTCACCTGTCAACACTGCCCATCTCACCTGTCAACACACAGATGCCCCCTCTCACCTGTCAACACATAGATGCCCCCTCTCAGCTGTCAACACATAGATGCACCCCTCTCACCTGTCAACACATAGAACCCTCTCTCACTTGTCAACACATATATGCACCCGTCTCACCTGTCAACACATAGATGCCCCCTCTCACCTGTCAACACTGCCCATCTCACCTGTCAACACACAGATGCCCCCTTTCACCTGTCAACACATAGATGCCCCCCTCTCAGCTGTCAACACATAGATGCGCCCCTCTCACCTGTCAACACATAGAACCCTCTCTCACTTGTCAACACATATATGCACCCGTCTCACCTGTCAACACATAGATGCCCCCTCTCACCTGTCAACACATAGATGCCCCCTCTCACCTGTCAACACCGCCCCTCTCACCTGTCAACACACAGATGCCCCCTCTCACCTGTCAACACATAGATGCCCCAGTCTCACCTGTCAACACATAGATGCCCCCTCTCACCTGTCAACACCGCCCATCTCACCTGTCAACACATAGATGCCCCCTCTCACCTGTCAACACATAGATGCCAGCCCCAATCATATGCCCAATGCCCAGCAAGGTGATATCGAAGGTGTTGAGACACCGGCTCAGCGAGGTCTCGTGCATGTCTTCAGGGATTGTCTTCACCCTGGTGATCTTACTGATCCCTCGCTTGATGAACTCCATCTGTGGAACCATCAAATCACCACAGGTGTCAAGTGTTTGTTTGTTCGTTTGTTTATATGCCTGTCTGTTTGACTATATGTCGGTGTGTGTCTATATGTCTGTGGAACCATTACATCACCACAGGTGTCAAGTGTTTGTTTGTTTGTTTGTTTGATTATATGTCAGTGTGTGTCTATATGTCTGTGGAACCATCACATCACCACAGGTGTCAAGTGTTTGTTTGTTTGTTTGTTTATATGCCTGTCTGTTTGATCATATATCGGTGCGTGTCTATATGTCTGTGGAACCATCACATCACCACAGGTGTCAAGTGTTTGTTTGTTTGTTTGTTTATATGCCTGTCTGTTTGATCATATATCGGTGTGTGTCTATATGTCTGTGGAACCATCACATCACCACAGGTGTCAAGTTTTCATCGTCTATATGTCTACCTGTCTCTATTTCAATCTAACTGAATAAATGTTTGTCTGTTTGTCTTTATGATTGTGTTTGTTTATACGTATGCCTGCATATATATCTGTCTATTTGCTCATATTTATGTCTGTTTATCCATATGTCTGTGTTTGTTTGTACATCTGGGTATGTCAATATCTCTGTCAGTTTGTCTACATGTATAGGCCTGTCTGTGTGTATACATGTATGTAATTGTCTCTGTGTCCGTCTCTTTGTATGTATATGTTTGTATGTATCTATATGTCTGTCTCTGTTCATATGTATGTGTGTCTATATATCTGGCTGTCTATATGTCTAGCAGTCTGTCTGCCTGACAGTCATCCTGCTTGTTTGTCTGCCTACATGCACGTATATGTGTATGTTTTTGAGTGTATGTTTGTGAGTGCATATATGTGTGTGTGTTTGTTGGTGCATATGTGTGTGTGTATTTGTTGGTGCATATATGTGTGTGTGTTTGTTGGTGCATATATGTGTGTGTGTTTGTTGGTGCATATATGTGTGTGTGTTTGTGAGTGCATATATATGTGTGTGTTTGTGAGTGCATATATGTGTGTGTGTTTGTGAGCACATGTGTGTGTGAGCGCATTTGTGTGTGTGTGGGTGTGCGTATGTATGTATGTAGGTAGGAAGTATTAAATGGAGAAGAGATGACTACAGTGCTAAATCTAACACACGAGGTGACTAGAAAGTTGAACAGAGGGAATGAAAAAGACGAGACGAGCATAAATACAACTCAAAGTTTCAACCAACGTCTTTGTCAACAGATGACTAAATACAACACAAACTATAACAGGAATACTCAACAGACAAGGCAACATAACTTCTAAACAATCGATACAAAAAATGTGCCCATGTTAACCCGGAAGATTTAACCAAAATAATTACACGTTTAGAAAAATTGTTTACCGACATCGCATGATGGACTTTAGTGGTTCAGACAGAAAACAATTTATTGACAAAAGTGCGAAGATTTTCTGCAACTGCTTGATGTTCTCATTACTGCAAATTTCTCTAGTCACCTTGGCAAAGTAAGCGTGTATGCGCGTATGTGTGCGCGTGTCCGTGTGTGTTTCGTGCGCGGGTCAGTGTGTTATGAGGGTGTAATGACAGTCTGTATGCTGTGTCTAATATGTTGTATAAGTTTATTTTGTTGAAAATATCGACATTCTTTACGAACTTATTATCAAAGTGAAAAGGAAGGGGGGGGGGGGGGGGGGGGGGGTCGCTGCAGTGTTGCGCTTAGCGCTCGCCTACGAACGGATCTCAAGGTCGTGTGTTCATGTCGGACTTATTTTCAAAAAACGACCATGGCTCACAGGTCGACCCAGCCTTAAAAGGAGATCAAGCATAGTCGTGGGAAGTAAAGGCGACCACATCACCCACAGTGTCCATTGGTCTATACCTAACCCTATATGCCTACTGGCAGCGTCCGTGGCTCAGGCGTTGCAAGTCCCATTCGTAATTCCAACGTACTGCGATCGAAACCCACTGCTGGCTGCGTGGATTTTTATCATGGTATGGGGCGTCGCAGGTCGAACCAGACTAAAATGGGTACCAGGATGTATGTCCTGGGGAAATAAAGACGGCCGGCATAATGCTGACCACATTATCAACCTAGTGCCGATTGGTCTGTACAAATCTGGATGCTCTTCCCATGTGCCCAATGCGCCTAAGACGTGAAAAAGGATCTTTACTTTTCTTTTTCACTAGATGCCTACTAAGCCTGAAGTCGTGGAAAAGGGTCTTATGGGGTCGGGTGTGGATAGACCCAATGTACCATAATACGGTCTGTTTTCTTCACAATCGGATTGCATCTGTCTGAGAGGCCAAGAGCCAACAGAGTACACACATATAAGCACAATATTTTAGACGGTTGTGCACCAAAACTCAAGTTCTGGAATGAGAAAAAAATTCCAGAAGTGTACGAACAACAAGCACTTTCCGTCGAAGTTCACAGCCAGTGATTGTGAAGAAGAAGATGAAGAAGAAGAAGAAGAAGAAGAAGAAGAAGAAGAAGAAGAAGAAGAAGAAGAAGAAGAAGAAGAAGAAGAAGAAGAAGAAGAAGAAGAAGAAGAAGAAGAAGAAGAAGAAGAAGAAGAAGAAGAAGAAGAAGAAGAAGAAGAAGAAGAAGAAGAAAAAGAAGCTGAAGAAGAAGAAGAAGGAGAATAAGAAGAAGAAGAAGAAGAAGAAGAAGAAGAAGAAGAAGAAGAAGAAGAAGAAGAAGAAGAAGAAGAAGAAGAAGAAGAAGAAGAAGAAGAAGAAGAAGAAGAAGAAGAAGAAGAAGAAGAAGAAGAAGAAGAAGAAGAAGAAGAAGAAGAAGAAGAAGAAGAAGAAGAAGAAGAAGAAGAACGGCTGACCAATAAGGCAGATGCCAATAGCTTGTTCAACCTTCACAGGGATTGTAATTGCAGCACCAGTAACGGCGATACCAGCCTGACGACCCTACATTACACAACGGATGGAAGTTATCGAGAGGCGCTGATAACACAGCAGATGTGCTTTGAACTGCAAAAGCTAAAAACTTTTCCAGCTGTTTCCATAATTATCATAAATCAGCGGATAGGTCCTTCTACAGAACATCTCTCTCGTCAGGGCACGCGTGAAAATCCCTCCTTCTCTAGTCAGTTCTCCAAAAATGATCTGCTATGTCCTGCATTGCTCAGATATGACTGCGCTACCGTATAACAGTAGCGGGTACCACCTATCTTCTGTTACGCCGAATGTTGGGCGGCGTTTAATAACCCAACATCCCATATTGTGCCAGCGGCTTCGGGCGGAGGAGCACATTTAGGAGGATACCAGCCTTATCCTAAGAAGAGGAAATGCAACCTGAAAACTTTAATGTTATGGCAGGGCAGACCAGGCCCTTCGCCTTGGCCGGCAGCTGGTCTAGGAGGGAAGCTCCGACAGGCGGACTCAGTTCTAATCTGGCAACTTCTGTAGCGTGCTTTGTTACGAACGTGCTGGTGTTACCTTTCCTTTGGAGTAAACAAGGCAGGCCGAAGGAGGGATCATGATACATGGGCAACATATAGTCTGTACAACCTGCCCAGCCTTTGTGCTATGAAGAGGAGGAACCCTTGTCTTAATATGGGCGGGTCTTGCTAGTCACAATCTCCTTCGCCATGGGTTGTGTCCCATGCCTAGCACAATATACACTATCGTCTGGAAAGACGGAAAGGTACCAGCAATGTGCAATGTAACCCTTGGATTATGCGATCATAGCCCTGAATGGTAGACCAACGTAGAAAATGCCAGTTACCCCAGTCAACATCCCCAAAAGTTACGACTAACTCTTGCTTTATTGCTTGCATGTTTGCAATGTGTGACCACGTTCACTACTGCCGAAAACAGCTTCGGTTATAACTGTGGTCTGTTTTTATTAGTGCCGATTTCAACGGCTGAAATGATTTATTGTGCTAAAAGCTGTGGCCTATTGTCTAAGTTCTTTGCTATAATCAGCTTGATATTAGTTAACTTCCACCTTAAAAAAAATGGAATGTTGAATTAAGAAACGACGTGATAGCACTCGGGACACTCCCATAAGCGCTCCGTCCCCATCTTCAGAAGCAAGCGAAGAGTTTTATTTCCTATTATGCTAGCGTCATAATGACAATTTTAAAATGACCGCATCACTTTTGACATGCACCAAGAGGCTCGTTTGCCCAGTTATTTTTACCAGCTTAACACTCTTGACACCCATAACAACAATATTGACAGGTTCCAACACAATGGCACGGTTACTGTAATTTCTAAGGCCCTTTTAAGCCCCCTGGTAAAACACAGCGGAATCAGGCCTACCCCGCTGTTACAAAATGATCTGCATTTCAATGCTGGCTGTGGGAATGCAGACGAATTGTCAAGGCGCAAACAAATCTGGTCCTGGGTCAGCAATAAGCGGCTTCACACACAGATCAATACTCAACGTGTGTTTAGTTCACGCATATACATAACAACGTCTATCTATTTTTAATCCAGCTTACCTTAGGGCAGAAATTCACAGCTGGATTGCAGAGAAATGACTTTTATGTTATCCCAGTTCAAGAAACGAACCGTCCGGCTTTTTTCACGTGACGGTCTGGTTTCGTTAGGAATAAATTATGCAGAGACAAGCACATATCGCGTGCTGTGAGTTCTGTCGCACGTGAGAGCGGGTCCCGAAAAAACATTCGTGATTAGTTGATTGTTATTTCCCTAGCTGTGGTTGTGTGTTGTGTAGGTTTTTGTGGCCACGTCGCGAAGCTGTTTATAGTAGCCTATATAGTGTGGTAAATTATAGATAATTTGGATAATGTGGAAGTAATTGGGTATTAATTTTCATCTCTCTCTCTCTCTCTCTCTCTCTCTCTCTCAGCCTCTCTCCAGTGGTTGGTTGTGTCTCGTTGAAGGAAGCCAGAAAAATATTAACGATTGGGAGCGTGGAGACGTAGGAAGGAAAGTGGTGTGTGATGTTGAGTAGAGTTCACCGATTGGACATCACAGCACTTGAAACATTCACACAAGTGCCCCGTCTCTATCTTCAGCAGCCAGCGAAGTGTTCTAACTCT